ACTAAAAAACTAGGGACTGCCTGCAGCTTAAAAAGATGCCTGAAGGACGTTATGCCCAAAGATGGTATCAGCTGGGGCCTGAAAATCCAGCATAGACCAGTTGGCAGATATGTGATCTAATAAAGCAGATTTGCAGGTAAGTTAGCTAAATAAAGATGTTCCAATTAGAGCTGCAAATCAAAACATTATAGGGAATCTATAATGTCAGAGCACAATTTTGTAGCAGAGATCTGTACAACCCCAAATCTGTACAACCCCAAAGCTCTCTTATTTTCCGTGACAGTTCCATGTAGCTGACTACAAACTTGCTGCTATAGCTATTAGGTCCAGGGCCTGATATGTCTATATTTGACTCAGAAAATGTCAGCTTGTGTCTGATAATGTTCATGTATGAAGCAAATAAATAACATATTTTTCTGTTTTCCCATTAGGTAGCCGATTACTTGGAAAGTAAATTCTCTGAACGTAAGAGTCCAAATAAAATGAAACTAACCATGGTTATTGGAGCACAGCCCTGGATAGCAAATATGAATGGCCCTATATATGTGGCTGCCAGGAACGCAGTCAAAAAAGGTATAATAAATAAAAAAATACTAACCCTTCTCCAGTCAGCACTAACCCTTCTTGTCTTTGGTGGATGTGTGAGGAAATGTCTCCAAGAACAAAAATTGCTATAAAAACCTGACAGAGGCCGTAGTCCATCTCGCTCTATCCTAAACAAAATAAAATGTTTTGGCTTTAAAGGAGAACTATGGGGTCAGTGTTTTTCCCCATAGTTCTCCTTAGGGTAACAGGAGGACACAAACTAGCGTCCTCCCGTTACCCTAAGCTCAGTATACCGCGAGCTACAGCTCGAGGTATACTGAGACGCCGCAGCCGGAGCGGATAGGACGACATGGACGTCGGGATCCGCCCAGCTGTGTGAGTGACAGCTGGCTCTGCCTATCTAGAGGCAGAGCCAGCTGTACCCGCCCCCTCCCCCATCTGTTCCGCCAGTCAGCGCTGGCAGATCGGAGCGGGGAGAGGGGAATCCAGCCCCTCCCCCTGTCACGGCAGAGAGTCGTGACAGGATCGAGAGGTGAGCGAACGCCGGTATGTGTTCGCTCACCTCCCGATCTACTGAGCCGACCTGTGATAGTCTCATTGTCACAGGTCGGCTAGAACTATGAGGTGAGTGGAAATCACTCATCTCATAGTTCTCCTTTAAGGGTTCAGTCCACACAAAAGTAATGTATTAGTTGGAGGTGCAGTCGGGTGAGCTCAGCCCATGCCTTCTTCGATTTACATCGTTTCTTTGACACAGACATTTCCCTGCTATTATTCCAAACTCTGTCCCAGTGTATCTGTGACTTTCTTAAGGTCTCAAGCACCTTCAAACTTTCCAGCACCTCACGTTGCATTTTTCATAGCATATAAACAATGAACATGCCAGGTGTGCAGACCCAGGAACTTAAGTGCAGAGATGTACAGTATGGATCGGTTGTGGGTAAGTTGACCCTTTAAACATACTTTGTATGTATTGTCTGCAAAGAAAGTACCTTTTCTGCCTACTAGAGCTGCAGCTAACGATTATTTTAAAAATCGATTAGTTAGCCGATTATTAAGTTCGATTAATCGGTTAATCGGATAAACTATAAAATAAAGTTTAAAAAATGGCTCCAGTGATGGGACTACTAGTTTGTATTGAGGTTGTAATCCACCACAGGAGCAAGCTTGGACCGGTGGAAGTAAAAAAGAAAAAAAAAGATAGTGTGGTGTGCAATATAGTGAAATGGAAAGTGTAAAATTATACAGCAATGCATGCAGAATGGCAACGGCTATAGAGGACTACAAAACCCAGCAAAAGCGCATTCTGCATTGCGCTGTATAATGTACTATTGCTGGGTTTTGCAGTCCTCTATAGCTGGTGGTATTTAGCATTGTACCACTTTATAATGTATTATTGCTGGGATTTGTTGTACTCTTCTACAGCTGGTGGTATTCTGCATTGCGCTGTATAATGTATTATTGCTGGGACTTGTAGTCCTCTATACAGCGCAATGCAGAATATCACCAGCTATAGAGGAGTACAACAAATCCCAGCAATACATTATACATACAGTGTATAATGTATTGCTGGGATTTGTATTCCTATGTATAATATACAGCACAATGTACCATCAGCTATAGAGAAATACAAATCCCAGCAATACATTATAGAGCACCATGTGGGGGAGAGTGCAGGCTTACCTGAGCAGTCTTCCAGCAACGTGCTTCTGAGATCGGGCCTGTCTATCAGCAGCTGTCATCCCCCCACACCTGCTCCTCCTTACTACATCTCCCCGCGTCCCTGTGCCGATCGTTGATGTGGATGGGCAGGAAATGTGAGGAGGTGCGGCGTGTGGAGCGCGGATGCGAGCGGGTCTGGCAGCGGCGAGCATGAGGTGGGGAGGAGGTGCGGCGCACAGCGTGTGGAGCTGTGAACAGGGCCAACTGATCGGAAGCCGATTAATCGATTATTGAAAAAGTTGACAACTTTTTCAATAATCGATTATAATCGATTATGTCGATTAGTTGTTGCAGCCCTACTGCCTACCAGCAATTTTCTTCTAATTGTACATTAAGCTGCGCATGCACAGCTTAGTATATAATCCTGGAATGCCAGGAAGAAGTAACTCCCAAGCACCTTAAAAGAGAACTATGGGGTGAGTGAATTACACTCATCATCATAGAGCCAAAGTGTGACATTGAAACTGTCACATGTCGACTCTATGGATCAGGAAGTGAGCGAACACATACCGTCGCTCCATCATCTCCCTGCAGAGAGCGGTCAGGCACTGCTACCTGCAGGGATAACCACCTCCTCTCTCCTCCAGCGCTGACTGTTGGAACGGACAGGGGAGGGGGGTGGGCACAGCTGGCTCTGCCTCTAGATAGGCAGAGCATGCTGTCAACAGCCAGCTGGGTGGATCTCGACAGTAATGTCGGGATCCATGCTGGCTGCGGCTCTCTCAGTATATAGCAGGCAATAGCCCGCTATATACTGAGCTTTGGTTCATATGGCACATATACTAACGTCCTCCCGTAACCCTGAAGAGAACTATCGGATAAAAAGGTTACCCCATAGTTCTCTTGTAAGGGAAGTTACGTGATCCTGGGCCAGCAAATGAAGATGACTAAAGACGCTTGACCTAGAAGACAAGGTGTCAGCGGTGCCGATGGAACGATGAGAGTGAATGCGGACAGTGCCATAGAGGTGAGAGAGGTAAGTGTGCCATAATGTACCTCCTTGCACATTATGACAATGTTCTTGGGGTACCTGCATGACATTCACAGTAGCACTCTGAGACATTGATCATATGTGATAATATTGGTCACTATGGCAGTTTTAGCATACAGTAAGTGATATCACAACTTAAGAACCAGTCCCCCAGTTCACTACGGTACAGGTTTGAATGGCTATTTAGCACAAATGGTTATTTGTCAGTCTGAGTAAATAGATCTGTTCCATGTTTGTAATTTTCTATCTCTGTCTGCCCTCTAGTGTTCAACACTGATGCAGACATGATCCGTGCTGGAGGAACAATTCCAATAGCCAAAAGGTTTGAGGAAATTTTAGGAAAAACTGTCATGTTACTTGGAATTGGAGGGCCGGAAGATGCTCCCCATGGACAGAATGAGAAGATAAGCAAGTAAGTTAGTATTTCTCTGGCTTGAGTGAAGTTCAAGCCCTATATCCAAAATGCTGAGAACAATGGTGCATAAAAGCTGTGAGCTGCAGGGGTCTGAGAGAAAAACCCTTTCTCCCTGTGTGAAAGCAGTGTCTGAAACGCACCCTGCTAAAGCTCTGCAATCAGCAAATGCTCTGTTGATAAAAAAGCTCTGGCTCAAAAATAGCAAAGAGTATGTCAGATTTTTGCAGATAGACTAGTACTGTTTCTAGAGTAAGTGTCCTTCTGTACGACATGTTGGCAGGGGACATGCTTTACTACTCAAGCTGTGGCTGTTTTCAAAAGAAAACAAATTATAGGACATTGTACACCTTTTGCTGTGATGCAACTGGAATGTATTTAGCTCATCTGCACTCTGTGTATGTATTCTGTTCATTTACAGTAGTAAATCAAGTCCATTGTTTACCATCTTTTGGGTGTGGACAGGCAGCAACGGCCCTAGGCACTCCAACTAAAGTGTCCAGTATAGTAGGTAAAGCAAATAGGTAAAGAAATGTAAAATCATGAGTAAGTTTCTACAGTTATAATTAACCTCCTTGGCGGTATTCCCGAGTGTGGCTCGGGGTTAATTTTCAGTACCATAAGCGGCAACCCCGAGCCACACTCGGATTCCAGCGTACCGTCTCTTACCTTGTCCACGATCCCTGCTTCCCCGTCCCGATGCCGGCTTCTGTCCCTTGCGAGCGTCCGTGTCGCAGGGGGGCGCAACTGGCGGGAATTTTTATAAAGTTAAAGACAGACAGGGGAGAGGGTGGCCACAGCTGGCTCTGCTTCTACCCAGCTGTCACTAATCCAGCGGGGTGGATCCTAACAATATATCGGGATCCGTCCTGGCTGCAGCGTGGCTCTGCACTCTCAGCATATAGCGGCGAATAGCCCGCTATATGCTGAGTTTTGGGTCACAGGAGGACAATAGTAAATGTCCTGCTGTGACCCTAAAGAGAACTACGGCTCAAAAAGGTTTGGCGATAGTTCTCTTTGAATACTGAATATTTAGAGTTCTGCAAAAGCATAATCATGATAGGTTTTCTTTAAAAAAATAGACTAAATAGTTTTTTTTTGTCAGTTATTTCTATAAAATGTTTAAAATAATGTATATATTTTTTTCTTTTCAGGCTGAACTACATTGGAGGAACAAAATTATATGCATCATTCCTTCAAGAAGTTCCACTTGTCTGACCTTCATAGCTTCCAAAACATACCAAACATACTGCTATGAGTTGCTGCAAAAGACAAATGCTAAATCCTCTATACGGTGTCATTTTAGCCATGATGATCAAGGCATTTTTAGTCTAATAGAAAAGATAGGCTTATCTATGCATTTCTACTTACCAGTTAAGATCGCAAATTAATTAAATGGATCAAGTAAATATGAAACAGAAGATGAAATTTCTATACTCTGCTCCATTTTGCATGATTAGTCTCGGCGATTTCAAATGTCAGTATTAAGCCATTTATTTAGCCACTTATGTATTCAAGGAAACCTTATTAATGACAATTTACCTGGATGACTTTAGAAACCATTTTGAAAATTACATCAAGCACTCATTATTGCCTGTACTTGTATTGATAGCATTGGCTTGCAGTTGCTGGCAGTATAGCTTATGTGTTTTATAGGGTATAAGTGCAAAATTAATGTAAATATGTTTCTTTTACTAAAAGCGAGTCACAGTTACCCGTTATAAATATGGCACCGTGTGTACAAATAAATACATTTTGCAAAGAAATTATGAGCTGGCATATAATTCCACCATGTTAGTGCTGTAACAAAGTGATAAGTAAATAATAAAAGGTATAAAATATGAACATGCTTATTCTCTCAAAGAACAGGTAATGTACAATGTGATTGGACCGGGGCAGAACTACCGTAGTTTTTAAAGAGATCTCTTTTTCACTTTAAGGTGATATTAAAGCCTAACTTTTTTTAAATTTCTCCTTTAAGGAGACCCTCCTTTGCTGGAGGCTGTTGATTTTATTCTTTAAAAGTTCCTAATTCCTCGTTTTCTAGTGGCTCCCCGCAGCGCACTTCCCCGAACCTCTTGCACGGGTGCCACCATCGTTCTAATGGAGGCACCCGTGCACGCTCGTTTCCGCAGTGGCTGTGTGCGTCCATAGACACACACAGCCCTGTGGCAGGCCACACCCCTTCCCTCTTTGAGTGATGGCAGAAGGAGCCTATGGGCTTGATTTAGATGATCCTCCCGCACCACGGAACTTCGGGGAACAGAGGATTTCTTCGGACCGACGGCAGGGACGAGCGCAGCTGACAGGTAAGTGTGGAGGGGACTGGGGTAGAAAAAAGGTGGTGGGCCGTTTTTACCCTAATGCAGAGAATGCAGAGGTAAAAAATGCCCAGACCATAATGCTATTTTAAGGCCTCTTTCACTTTTCACTTCAAGTCCTCATGCACACAGGCCTTCTGCATTAAATACTAGGGATGCACCGATATCGTTTTTCAGTATCAAGTACCAATCATCTTTTTCGATACTCACCGATACAGAATACTGATACCAGAAGTCCCATTAAGGAGGCGGACGGCGTGTAATGACTCGCCGCCTGGCTTCCTGATTAGCCGGAAGCTTGGGTATCAGGGATAGGCATCTGAAGCATTTGGTCGCCCAAATACTCGGTATCGGCACTGATACAAGTACTGTGACATCCCTATTAAATACAGGAGAAGTTATTTGAAAAGAACAAACAACTTTTATGCTACCCAGATGCTTTTTTTCGTGTTTAGATGTCCCTGGATTAAGTCGTGTTTACATGCATTTAGGCTTGTTTACCTGCATTAAACCAGCTAAATAGTACCGGGAAGCAAAAAAATTCTTGTTTGTGTAAACGCTGCTAAACTGAATGCACTTAGCCCTGGTTCACACCTAGGCGTATTGCATATGCGGGTCTGCCGTGCGGTTGCCACGCGTTTTTTTACCGCGGTTCGCGGTAAAAAAATCGCGCGGCAGACGCGCGTTTCCAAGGGCTTCTTGCTGTATCCCAATGGAAACGCGCATCAAAAACGGCCCAAAGTAGTACATGTACCTTTTCAGGCGTGGGCCGTTTTGTAGCGCGTTAGGGACGGGCTGAAATACGCCAAGGTGTGAACCAGACCCATTGAATACAATGGGATTTAGATGTTTGAGCGTTTTGTAGAGCGTTTGTCGAGCGTAGAACGCGCTACAAAACGTTCAGGTGTGAACGAGGGCTTAGATCAGGGGTCGGCAACCCCCGACACGCGTGCCTGGCTTGGCACGCGAGGCCACATCGGCTGGCACGCAGGCCCGGACTGCCATGTATTGGTGCTGATCTGAGGTCTGCCGGGCATCAGGTATGTAAAAAACCTGTGTTTTATGAAAGTGCAGCGTCTGGGCTGGTCTGGAGTTTTAAGATAATACAGAAACAGGGATCATACTAAAACTGTAAGTCCAGTTTACTTTTTTAGTACATGTAAATATATTTTGTGTGTGCAATAGTTATAAAATGTTTTCACTTACAGTTGTGCTGCTAACGGCAAGATAAACACATTCAAATAATTAGTGAGTTTAACTTATTATTAGCAGTACAACTATGAGTACAAAAACTGAAATTTGCTAATACCATGGTGCACTATTGTTCAATGGCACTCGGTTGTCTGATGGTTGCAAAAATGGCACTCGGTGTGTAAAAGGTTGCTGACCCCTGGCTTAGATGCTGCTTGACGTCTAGGTGTGCATTCAAAACGTCTAGGTGTACATTCAGCCATAGTGAAGCATTATATGCTTCCAGGTGTTTTAAGGAATGAGCACCAAATGCAACTGGACTCATGTATTTTCATTGCACGAGGCCTTAGTCTGGGGGAGAAAAAAAAAACAACCAACTTACAGTGCAATTGTAGCCAAGACCTTTCGTAAGGAAGGGTTAAACCCCCTGCCAAGGTGTTCTTTTGTTTGTGTAGCATTAAGGAAATTTTCCTTCACTTTCTGTTCCAGAGATGCAACAGGAAGTTAGAGGAAAGTAAAGGAAATGTCCCTCTTAGACAGCTGTCCCTGGAACAGGTGCTCCCATGGGAAGCTTTTTCCTTACCTATTTTTTATGGGGACAACTCTAAAGTGTTGTATTTTCCCCTTTCAGTGACCGCAACCACAGTCTGGAAAGAACCACTACTTGTTCCGTGTCCAGACCGCGGTCTGCCATTTAGGGACCCCTGCTGTATATCATCCATCAGTTAGCATGGCAGAGAACTGAAGTCAAAAGTTTAATTCTAACCCAAATTCCCATTTCAATAGTCTCTTTGTTTCTGAATTTTGAAAGAAAACCTTACCAGACCAATTTCACCTTCAGCTCCCTAATTCAACAAATCTTGCATCATGTGACTAAACACTGCAATGGAAGCTGGGCTTGGAGGATTGCTTTCAATCTGATTGGTGACATACTGAATGGGTTAGCAGATTAAAGTTAATTGGATGGGTGAAGGGATTAGAACTGGGCAAATCCCAATGCTCCTTAACAGTTAGAACTGGTGCCTACCATTTGAGGTTTTCTCTACTTGATTTCAAAGCAGCTTGCTCCTAACAAATTCCTGCTGGCTCCTGGATTGGACAGACTGGCTTCTGAATTCCATAATAATGTGTCCACCCCTGGGTTTGAACCACTGTCAGTGTATTGTATTTATGGTTCTTGCATACAATTAACAAGCAGCCACGAATATTAATATTGATCATACTGTAAAATGCTTTGATATGTTGGATTGATTTATTCCATAAATAACAGATTAAATATTGATTAAACTCACACCATCACCATACACTCACAGACCTGCAGCCGGTTGTCAAACTATACCCACAGAGCAAACTAGTAACTATACATACATGGTCCACCCCATGCTGGGAGAATAACTGACACTGCTTTACTAATATTGTATAGAATGGCAGAACAATGAGTGGAATCACCAGAAGGGAAAATGGAGATATTTAAATAAAGTGAGAAAAATGATGAGGAATTGGATAATAATGGTAGATATAAGAGAAGGCGGGGCACTAGGGCAGGTAGCAAGTGACAAAAAATTCCACTGACTATATCTCCTATTCATGGTCTATGACTCATGTACAGCAATTTTACATATCTAATGACCAATTACCACCCCTATTTCCCCCTTTCAGTGTCTCTAAGCCCAAGTAACACATCTTTAGTATCAATGATGCACCAATATCAATACTAGTATCGGTACCAATACCGAGTATTTGGGCAGATTGGTGGGGGTATTTCCCTTGAGAAAGAGGATTTGTCACCAGTCTTGTGCCATCGCAAAAAAAACAAACTGTGGGGGTTATTCACGAATGAGCCAAAGGATCCAGCTGTAGCTTCAGCTAATCCTTTGGCTCACTTTGGCCGCCGGAGCCCTTCGGTTCAGTTGAATCGAAGAACTGCTGTACGGGCTATTCACTATAGCCCGTACAGCAGCCGAGCAGTTCAGCCGAGCCGAAGGCATATGCTTCGGTTTGACTGAGCAGGAGTGACAGCCGAAGCGTGGAGAAAGGTCGGCTGAAGCCGATCAATCACCATGCAAATGACAGCTGGGCGGAGCCAGCCGTGATGTCACAGCTCACTCCACCCAGTTGTAATGACAGATCAGCATCCCCAAATGACCTGGGGACGCTGATCTGTCATTAAACAATAACAACTGGGCGGAGCTGTCTGTGACGTCACGTCCAGCTCCGCCCAGTTGTTTTTCAGTGGCCGGGACCTGCTAGAAGACTCTGGCAGGTGCCGGCCAATTGGAAACACTTGGGTGATGTCACCGCTAGCTCTGCCCAATCGTTTTTATTTTGCCGTCATCTGTCAGAGTCCATCGCGGTCCACTGCAGGAGTCCATCGCGTGCGTCATTTAAAAAAAATTATTATTTCTTTTTCTTTCAAATAATTTTTTTTAACTTTTCCTATTTTTTTACATTTTTTTGTAGGGATGCACCGATATATCGGCCGCCGAACGGCACTTTTGGCATAATGCCGAAAGTGCCATTTTCCTGCCGATACATCGGTGCATCCGTGATTTCTTTCTTCCCCGCTGGGCGCTGCTCTGTGTCCCAGCGGGGAGAAGAGAAAGTGACAGCCGGCCGAGCGCTGCGGTGGAGAGCGCTGTGAGCGGCCGGCATCTCCTCCCACACCGCTCTGCCGCCTAACACAGTCTGGCAGAGCGGTGTGTGGGCGGAGACAGCGCTGT